TCCTGCTGATATACACATATACCACTGTAAACGGCAAGACAACTCACACCTCTTTTCACTGGGCAATGGAGTACCTCAGAATTATTCACAGGATAAAAGTACCTAGTGAATAATGGAGTAACAAACATGGTTGAAGTGCTGCCATTGATCATGTATGTGAACTCATCCCACCCTAAGCGCAGGATCAGTGAAAGTAACTTATTGCAAATTGATTTTTAAAATGAAAGTGAGTACTATCTACATCAAGAGACATTAAGACTGAAGCTCAGAATCACCTTGGATTTGAATAAACCCAGTATAAAGAAAATAAGGGTTTAAATACATTGGTTCATTACAGGTGAGTTACTACACCCAGAGTGAGACTCGTCAGGAATAACCTCAATTTTTAATTAATGGAAACATCAGATACAAGTTTGTAGTACTCCTGCTACAATATGAGTCTAATCTCCTCTTATAAAGTATTACAAGGGAAACACCTACATGTGGCTTAAACACTTTTTTTTCTTGTTCAAAACTAAAATCTTCAGCTTCATTTAAAAGACACAACTGTTTCAATGCTATAAATAATGCTCGTCTCATTGATAAGCCACTAAGAACCACTAACATATTGTAAATACCTGAAGATTTGAAGTAGTAGGCAACCAAAATTTGATTTAAACAAAGTACTTATATTGTAAAATTTAAATATGAAAGCTCTGTCCAACATGCATATTCCTCACCTAGGTTTTTCACAGAAATAATTTATAGTACAGATTAACAACATGGTTGATCTTACCATTTCAACTTACCATTCCATTGGAATTATTTATTCCATTCATATTAATTTTAGTTACAAATCTAACTGTAGGAGGTGCTTCTGGATATTTAGGTCCACACTCTACTTTCAGACTGTATATTCTGTTTTCATAGTTTGTCTAGAAAGCAAAAAGACAGACTAATGCATCTTACTGAAAGCTGAATATTAAAATAAAATAAAAAAAGGCAAAAGGAATAAAGATTAAGAAATATGAAAAAATTATAAATCTGTTAATATTATGTACCAGTTGATGGTCTTGAATTACTGATTGATATTCCACTGCTTTGGTTATATTGATTACTTGATGAATATGTATAAATTACACTACTTATTGACTGTACCATACTAAAGTTTCAACAGAATGCAATTCTTTTTTTAATTCATATTTATTCTTATCCTTCCTACCCACCTGCATTCCCCAAACAACTTTGGGCACAGTAATGGGCTGATGGAAAATCAACAATCTTTAGGAAAATTACTGCTTTCCCCTATAAAAAAAAATCTAACACTGAAAAAAAATTGGAGATGGGGAACGACGAAGATGCCACTAACCCAACAGTTAAAACACGACCAAAAATAAGATGAAAATAGTACTCGCAAAAAACATACCACAGAAGTAATTAACGCTCCAGAAGATATCCCAGACTTCCATAGCTGAGGATTGCTTAGTTTACTAGAGGATTTACAAAATTTGGACAGTAAAGTGACAGCTAGTTTGCTGAAGACATCACTTCAAAGTGACCATGGGACAGATCATTCTAAGTGCAAATATATTTTGAGAAAGTCCAACCAGAAATGAATACAATTCTATCTTTTTTTTAAATCTTGTCAAGTAGGCCATGCACAATCAAAAGTATCAGTGGCATTGCTGGTCGCTGATGCATATGCCTCTGTGCTCCAAATGGAAGATAAACCCAGTTTCTACACCTGTATTTCCATTGGCACAACAGATACAGCTAACATGAACCCACAGCAGTAACATTCCTCTGAACTTTCCAGAAGTACCATCTTTAAGCTGTTCTGCATCAGCCAGCTGTCACTCGCTCCAAGTAGAAGTATCAACCATGCAGTCAAGTTATCAAGTGACAGTCCACTCTGTGGTCAATTAAAAGGCACAGCAGAAATCAGACTACTGAAGCACCCTAACTGTGTCCTATAATTTTGAGGAGCCACAGCGACTGAGCAGCAAGTGGGTCAGAAAGAAACAAGGTGAAGCAGGACATCCACTGTTAAGAAAAAGGTTTTCTATTAATCTTTCTCATTAAAAGTTAAAGTCCCAGTAAAAGTAATCTTGACCTGCTACAGGTAACATAGCTGCTACCACAGCAAGAAAATATAGTAACAAAAATTCTCATTGTTCACTCGGATAAAAAAAAAAAAATTACTTCCCCAGAGAGGGACGCTGTCAGTTATAATGGAAATAGGCCAAAATGTATATACACTGCTCACAATTGAAAAATCCTGACAACAGCTCTCATTCCCTTATTCCTATCCAGGTGGCTGCTTAATTTTGCTTACTGTTTCACTGCAAGCCAAGCATCCCTGGCCAGCACTGCAAAAAGCCTTAAAACCCCATTTTTTCAGGGTCAGAAAAATGTTTCCTTTAATCCAAAACAAATCTTCCCCTCCCCCCTCCACGTTGGTTCGCCCTTCAAATGAAGCAAGAAAAAATCTGGTAAGCAATTTTTGCACAGCTCTAGAGAAGCCACGTACGTGAAGAAATAAATGCTGTGGATAGTAATAGCAACTTTCTCTGCGTTCTCCCTAACTGTACACTATACACGTAACAACCAATTCCAAAACCACACATCTTCTACAAACCCTGAAACTGTATATGCAATTCTTCTCATCAGAGTGCCACCACTGGCTTGGAAGCTGGTGGCTTTCACTTTCTACAATCACCACATACTGCAAGTCATTCTATAAGACCGCATGTCTCTAAAATGGCCCAAAATGCACTCTTTCATAAAGAAAATATAATGACAGCATTATAAATTGACCAGAATTAAAAGTGCATCCCATGTTGTTTGTGTTTTGGGTTTTTTTATTTTATTTTTTAAAACATACGGGCTCCTACATAATAATCACTCCCTTCAAAGACGTGTTAGGAGTCTACCTTAGGTTGAACCAGAAACCAGTCACAGGCAGTTCTGGAGGCTGTTTAGGAGAGTCAGGGAGACATTACTTTTGTTAGCTCACATTTGCAAGTTCTTTCAAAACCTGTAAGACTACAAACTTTCTTCAAAATGTATTCAAACACTGTGATTCCACAGAAACTAGTATCCAAAGCATACCGTCATTACGTTTATATTTTAAATTCGTTCTCTCTCAAATGCATCCAAATCTTAGGAGCTCAGCAAAATTATGCAGACTGTTCAGTCTGCTGCAAGTTGCAAATAACTCTGACTTGCAAAATAAGCTTGAATTACACTAAATCTAACTCTGGAAGTGTTACTCTGGAAAACATTATCTTCACTGAAGCCAATTTCTGATCTCAGTTCTTGTCTTGTTCTTCCAATAAGCCCTGCAGCACTGAAGGACACACTAGACAGTAACCTCATGTTAGCGGTGCAAGACAGATGCTAACTTAGAGCTAGTTAAGTATACTCGTTTAAAGTTCTCATTTACACAGTGACCTTTTGTATCATATTGTAACTCATGAGAAAGTGTGCACAAAAGTCAAGTAACGATGTGTCCCATTCATATTTCATGAGACTGATACTCAGACATGAGAGATGAATACTTCTCCTGCAGGTTTTATCAGTCTAGATGACATTCTACAGAACTTAAAAGGTCAGAAGGATTTGAACTTTGTGTATATATTTAATCTTATTAGAGGTAATTAAAAACTGCTTGGTCTTTAGGCATGATTCAACTGAAATGCATGAACCGCCATACTGAAAGACTATTTGACAAAACTTGTGAAAGTTGAAAATATACTGCCAATTTGCTGCAGAATTGAAATTACTAGGCACAGATGATCAACCGTGGAAAGACAGTTACCCTGTTTACTGCACTATCACTGTACACTTACGTGCAGTAATGGTGGAAATACAGACTGAATATATTCCTAACTCAGAAATAAGTCTCAAATCCCAACTGGCTTACACAGACAGCTGCAGAAACGTACTAGGGGACGCTAGACTGAAAACACTGACTAACATGCCAGGTAGTGATGGATGCTAACATGAACATACAGTGTTTCTACAACTTCATACATTGAATTTTAATCAATTCCTTTCCACTGTAGCAAAGTAATTTTTTTTTTTTTTTTTTTGCATTTTGTATTGCCTACAAACTTAAATCTTTTAAATTCATCACACTTACCCTCGGTGGCCCAATAATCATTCCTGTCCATCTGGTGAGTGTCATATCTTCATCATCTTCAAGGCCCCAGCTTACTGTACCATCACCTACTCCTTTCTGCCCTTCTTCAAGTTCTTCCAACAAGCGAAAATTACGAGGTACTTTAACTAGAGAAAAGGGAAGAATGTAATTAATACTTCTTACATTAAGGAAAAGGTAAACAATTGCATTGCTTTTATATGTAATGCACTAGCAACTGCTGAATATACTTTCAAAGCCAAACAAGTATTTCTTGCATGATTTAGCACTCAAGTTGTTTTGAAGTAACTAACCACTTCAATGGAAGCTAGTTACCACCAAGTGATAGCAATACAAACTGTAAAAGAGATAATAAGAGAGCTCTTTTTAGTTAGACATGGCTTAATTCAGATTCTCTTTCCCAAGAACAGTACTGTTGGGAACCAGTACATTTTAAAAATCAATTCACTGTCTGTCAAGTTCTAGTCAACTAGAATCCAAATAAAATTAATATGGCAATTTCCCTCAAAAATAATTAAAGAATGCAACATTTAACATGATCTTAATAAATTTAAACTGGAAGAGAAATACTGAAGCATTTTCACTTGATTTCATTTGATTTAAAACCGAAACACTTTAATATCTGAAAACAAATTAAAAATCAAGTCATTTTTAATTCACTGATTATTATTCCCACTTAACAGAGAAAAAAAATAAGCAGCACAAAAACACTGATTAAGTTGTTAGAGAGAGATAATGACATATTCACAACAGAATATGAAGATGTACTGCCTCTAAAGAGAACCAAGTAATATTCACTTACTGAACTATAATTACTGAATTTTGATTATTATACATGAAAACAGATATTGATAGGTATTACACAAGTGAATGCTTAATTGCCTTACATCACAGAAGCTAAAATGGTATTTCAGCACTGGGATGCAGGGAACAAAGCTAATTAACAGTTATGCATGTAATTATGGTATGCTTTTATTTTCAAATAAAATATGCACAATGATGTAGCAGCAATTTACAATACAATAAAACTTCAATTTTCTTATAGTTGCTTATAGCTTTTTTTTTTTCTTCTCACAGCTACTTATAGCTATAGTGTTTTCCATGATTTTTACTACAGATTCTTTCTTGTACTGGAAGAATCCAGGTACTCTATAAAACTAAAACTCTGAGACTGGGTTCATACAATGTTGTTACCAAGGAATACATACTATGCAAGTTTGAAAAAGATGGGGGGGGGAGAAAACTGTTTTTCATATCATTTATTTAGTCATTGGGATTTCAGGTTTTACAATACATCTAGTCTGTATTCCAAGCCGCCTCTATGCAAAAAATTAAAAGTGGTAACAGACGATTTTTCAGTCAATACATATGGACCACTACAAACACACCCTTCAGCAACTATTCAAATAGCTTATCTTGCATAACTATGGTTTCTCTTCAACTGTGTTTAAAACATTTTTTTTTTTAAATAACTAGGGAGAGGCTGCTAAAAGTTGCAGAAGCTATTGTCTCCAAGTTCTCGAAATTCCCAGGGAAAAGCATTAAGAGGATAGTATCAGGACAGTGAAAGGAAATGAAATCACTCATGTATGGCCTCACCTTCCTTCCTGCTTTGGTACTGCCACTCATCTGAGCCCATAATAAGCTACTTCAGCTTGCTAACTGAGTAGAAAATTATAGATTTTGCTTAGTCTCCTGACAGCTTAACAAACCAGCCCAGCTCACAGATCTGACAAGTCCTAGCATGAAAGTGCAGCCATGCCAGCAAAAAGTCAGATAACCTTGATGTAAAAATGTGGTTTAATGGCGTTAAACTACTCTGGAAGCTTATTTTCACACATAAAGAGTTCACATATGATTACCTGAAAGTACTAGCACAGTACATCAAGGAGCAGATCATTTCTCAATGTTTAGCACAGAACCTTTTAAAAAGCTTCATTGAAATTCATTTGTCCATTCCTTTGGTCCCATCCTGACTTGTTATTAACATTAGATCTGTATATTTACATATCTAATTCAGACTAGGGATGAGAACTGACAATCATGCTTCTGTCACATTATAGAGCACAAGGTTTTTAGTTTTGCTCCAGATTCATATGTGCTCTGGAATGGAGTCTGCCAGTAAAAGGCTAATGCTAAACTTAAAAAAAAAAAAAAAAAAAAAAAATTAAACCAGCAGGAAAAATTTCTACTAAACTTCTTGTTTTGCATCACATGACTGAATAGCTTCTGACTGGTATGTGGAGCCTCAAACAAAAAACCCCTACAAACAACCCCCACCCCCCAAAATCCATGTACTTTAGTATCCAACCGTTATCTTAGACTTCTCCAGTGGTTTCAATCCACCATTTCTCAGAATTCTTGCTCTGACTGAAGAAATTCTGATTTATAGTTTACCTCTTTAAAAAGCACATAAAGGATGGAAGCAAAGATTATTTCTGAGCACCTGCTGTCACCTTTCAGTGCAGCTGAGATGATCTAACTGCTCATTGCCAGAAGAGGTTCCATGCCGCCTTCTCCCAAAACTCTGTTGTTCCTGCACTAACCAGCCTCCTCTATTAGCCAAACTGGCACACTAATTTAGCAAAAAACTGTTTTTCCTTTAGGCAAAAAATTCAAATCTAACCAGTTAATCAAGTGATTTGACTCAGGAATAAAGATCAACAAATGCCGGACATGACTGCTGTGTCTTTCAGTGCCTTCCTTTGCAAAACCATGGGTGTGGGGATGAGGAAGCTTTTTGTGGCAAAAAGCCACTGGACTGGCTCACTTGTATCATAAAATTGTATTCAACACACAAAACTGTAGGAGGTGACAGTTACTAGAAAATAACACCCCCTTATGACCAACTGTCCTGTGTTCATCACGTTTTTTCCACTACGTGTTCTGTGCTCACTAGTTCCTCTAACTGCCCAAGGGGAGCAGTGAAGGACTTGGGACACCTCCAGAACATGTCCAGAAAATAATTTAGATCTCCTCTGAAAAGAGCCAAAACATGTGACAGCAAGTGCCAGGCTCCCCACACACTAACATTCCTATCAGTGCTAGAACTAGATAGCAAAACACTGCTCTGAAGTTAAGAGTCAAAATACCTAGTATAAAAAAAGAGAAAAAACCCCCACAAAAACTACCAAAAAATCCAACAACAAAACAACCAACCAACCACACCATCCTACTGAGATTCCAATCCGTTAAAAAATTCTCAGAAAAAAGATGTTAGTTCTCAACTAAAACTGGACCAAAGATATGTGCAAACAGGTTCCCTTTCAGAAAGTTACACATCCTACATTTGCACTGCGGTCACCACAAATAATTGTATAAATTAAGATAAAACCACTATTTCATAAGAGTACTTCCGTATTTAAGGTACTGAGTTCACTTACACGACCGTATTCTACTCTTTTATCTATGAGTTGACAGGAAATGCACAAGATCTTTCTTTTTATGAAACCCTATATTTAAGACTTAGACAACAACCTCTCCCATTCTATTTCCAAAGAGATACCCTGATTTGTCAACTGACATCAGGGGCGCAGAGCAACAAGCCATGCACATCTTAATTATGAGTATTTGCAAGAGCTTTCATAAACAAAGGATTACCAGGTCAACTATTTCCCAGCTTGCAAAAAAACCCAAAAAAGCCCAACACAACAAAAACCAAACAAACAAAACAACCACCACCATCCCCCCCACACCCCACCCCCAAAATCCTCCATTAAACTTCTATGTCCCTGGCATATATAATTAATGTTTTATACTCAATACTTCAATTGAAGTCACTACTGAATGCTTTACTAGAAAATCCTTGTTGATAGATTTCTGACAAGAAACACAGAATGCTTTCAAAATTAACACACTGGGTTAAAAAAACCCCAACACCTTACCTTTACAATTAGTCTTAGAAACTACCAGCAAAATGAACTGAATTCAAGGGTAGTGCTGTCCTGAACATCCATTCATTGCACTTGTACACACTACTGCACTCTACATATTTGCTTTGGTCATGTTAAATCTTTACACAATCCAAATCTAGCTAGCTTGAAGAACAGAATATGTGTACAAGACTGCACCTTCTTTCCAGTGAAACAACAGCAAGAATTTCTATCTAGATCAAGTAATGATGGTCTGGATCTTTTGGAAATTAAGTTTGCTCCTACTATAAAGTAAAAAATTCTTGTTCTTCTCACTATTTCATGTATTCCAGAGGGCAGAACCTGAATTGTATGTTAATGGTGCATACACAACTTGCAGCTTTGTCTCTAATCTGGACAATACAACTCATCAAATATCTGCTCAAGACTTTGAAATAGTTCTCGACAGAAATCTGAGTAGGAATCAGTATTTCATTTACAGAATTTGGACAAGGAAACAACATCCTTCTGTTCTAGTTTGCAGCTCATCAGCAACAGGAAATTACAGAAACCACCCCCATTCTTCAGCCAACCACCAGACCTCAGGTGTACCTCCTGGAACAAGTGGTGGCAATTGAAGAGAGAAATGCCTCTAGCCTTTCACCACCAATATTCGCCAAATACTGTTCTCCCCAATTCCACTTGCTGATGGGACCACTCACCAGCTTCAAACAAGTGCAGACAGGTTGTTTTTACTCCCTGTAACATGCATCCCCCAGCTAAAACCTCTCACTTCCAAATGAAGGGGATTAAAGCAGTCATGCAATTTTATCATTGGCAGAGCTATATGAGTGGTAAGCTCCACTCAGTAGGCTGTTGACTAACGGCTAGGTACAGCACTGCATTCAGCACAGCTATTTGCAATGATGGACTATGGCTCTCCATGTGAAAATGTAGCTGGGTTCATCAAGATTAAACAAAACAAAAGGAACCTCTCCCACTCAACCTCTTTTTTGTTTATCTGTAAAGCTTACCTCACTGTGGATTTTACTGACAAATACTTCCTGACACACACCCACCCCCCCACCCCCGTGCTGGTTTTGTCTGGGATAGAGTTAACTGTCTTCATAGCAGCTAGTATGGGGCTGTGTTTTGGGTTTGTGCTGAAAACAGTGTTGATAATATAGAGATGTTTTCATTATTGTTGAGCAGTGGTTACACACAGTCAAGACCAAAGGGATATTCCATACCATACAGCATCATGCTCAGCACATAAAG